CAACCCAAATGTCCTAACATCATGAACAATAATTAATTATTGTGCAACTACTCGTTTTTCAAATTTAGCCAATAAAAATTTTAGATAGTCAATACTCATTAATTTTAATTTAAAATTTTGAATTAAAAATTATTAAAGGTTTTACTCCTTAACAATATAAAGCACTAGTCCCAATGTTTATACAAAAATGGAAAAAACGAAAAAAAAAAAAAAAGCACTCCAGACTCGATCATCTTCCAATATTTCATTGTAATTATGGTTTAAGGAATTCTTCTTCATCATCATCATCAATAATAATAATTATTATTATTATTATTATGGCTTGAGGAGAATGGCAACTTCGGGGTGATGTGGAGGGAAAGTCCTCACCCCACAAATACGAAGATTCGTTGTCTCTATGTCCCAATAAAGAAGCAAACCTTGACGTTACTTTTAAATTATTAGAGGAAGACTTAGACGTGTTAGTGGAAGACCGTGACTAACTTGCTATTTCTTCTATAACACAGTATTATTGTCAATTTTATGATAAAACCACTTTTCTATTCTACCGTATTAGAAAGGATTTGCAATTTGACTAAAATGTGAATTTATGTTTCCACACCCTAATTAGGTCCAAAGATTTGTTGCCTCTATCTGTCCTAAAAAGAAGCAAACCTTGACGTTAAGCATTTGCACTTTCGTGCTATTTACGGACAAGGAAGACCTTGACTGATTACAACTTGCTAGGAAAATTATTGGATTGAATGGTAACTTGTTGGCATTTGCACTTTGTATTTGTTATGGATGGGGAAGACCTTGACTTCCAACTTGTTAGGCAAATTATTGTTATGGATGGTGAAGACCTTGACTTCCAACTTGTTAGGAAATCTATTGCTTGGAAGAACAACTTCGTCTAGGTGGGAATGAAATTATTTTTCAAAGGCTTTTAATTAAGTTATGTTTAGTTTGAAGGAAATAAAAGGAAAGAAAAATGATGGCAGTGACAAATTTTCTTTCTTAATAAGCATCTTCTTATTGGTTTCATTGAGTTAATACTCATTAATTTAAAAAATCTTACTTTAAATTAATTAGGAATTTAAATTTTTATATTACTGAATATAAAACCTCAATAAATATATATAAATTAAATCAATTCGTATAAAATATTAACTATTCGTTTCCTTAATATGAATTGTTAAACCCCCTTGCATCGTGGAGCGTTTATTCCATATTGTCTTTGTGTGAGTTATGCTCTATATATAGGATTCTGCGCAACTTCAAACTTTTTAGAGTTGTGGTATGTCATGTTTTTTGTACCTTTTATATTGTTCAAAAAATATGAATGGTTAAAATTTATTCATGATTAAAATTTATTCACTTTTTATCATTTTTTATAATGATAATTTTTTTTAAAAAAAATTATGACAAATTTACATTATTCATAGTGGAAAGATAAAAGTTTAAAATTTTGTGTAAATAATGTGTATTAAAGTTACATATTACTTGATTCTAATTCATAACAAAAGAAATTTGTATTTTATAAGTTAGATTATATATTAAAAATACAGTTCAAGTGCTAAAATTATTAAATTATTATTAATGAAATAACATAAAAAATAATTTTATTAAGAGTAGTTTAATAAATTTATAAATTATACTGTACTTTTA